TCAAAATTCCTTATCTAATTCCTTCTTTTTCTTATCTAATTCATTCATTTCCTTATCTAATTTTTTTATTATCTAATTGTATGAAAATCTGTTCTGATTTTGTTCAATCCTCTAATTGTATTTGTATTATATTTCATATAATTGGTTTAACAAAAAAAATCCCATAACATCTGATAAGTAAAAAAATAAAGTACGTAAAATATTTACTAAAATAAAAAGGCTTTATTTATTATCTAATTGTATGGAAATCTGTTCTGATTTTATGGTACATACTACAAATTGTGCACCCGTGTTCAGGAGCTACTTAACGGGCAAGCTCTGTGGAAATGACTCATTTAGTGCTTATGTCCCGTGCATACGGTATGTATTTTTATTACACATACTAGAAAATTGTGCACCACGTGCATCGCACGGGCTCTGTACTAATAAATGACCTTAAAATTGTGCACCCCGTGTTCACATTTTGGCCTATTACAGGTCACATACTATATATATCCCGTACATTTATATAATTATAAGAGTTGATGTTGAATTCCACTGCAATGAAAAAGTCTTTGCACTGAATCTGGTTAATCACAACTTTAAAATTCCAAAATAAAGCAAGCCCCCCACTAAGCCCAGAGGGGTTAATAGTAATGCACCTGCTATCAAAACCTAACTTATTGCTAACAGTATTTACAAAAGCTGAAGATTTCTTAGTTTCTGATAAAAAAAGAAAGACTGGGTGATGAGTTTTAAGTAACTCTCTGATTTGGAAAATTGTAGAGGGCCCACCCAACCCTCTACAATTCCACACCAGAGCTAACGTGGGCCACTTGGGTGCCATTCAAGGCTGGCAACCCCCACCTTTTCAGCTGAATCTTCAGGTATGGCTTGATCCTCCCCTTTAGAAATTTTGGGGCTTTTTGATGTCTCCTGCATTGTTCCCTCAGCAACAGCTCTCTTGGAACCTACCACTTTATCAATGACAATTGGAATAACTGGTTCTCTCAACAATCTTCCTGATTTGGTGCCCAACCTCTTCCAAGTCTTGGGATTAGGGACAGAAG